CTGGTTCGCCTGTGAACCGTTTCATTAGCCCTTTGTAGAACCCGAACGATCGTTTAATTACTATTAATCATTGCCGATACTCCGTCATTCGTTAGCGCATCACAATGCCAACGCTGTAAACAATCAGCATTAAAAATAAAAGAGGTGTAAAAGTAGCAAGGTGTACTTAATCGTTCTAAACATTGACTAATTTATCATCGAACGATACTACTGGCCGAATTATTTGTGTTATATGTGTACGAATTTCATTTCAACTCTCGAACAGTTTCGTTGAATCACGGATGACTATGTAATAGCAATTTACAAAATTGCTGAATTGTTCAAGGTATTTGATTTTATTTCGTATGCTGTGTTTTTTGCGGTAGACATTTTTATGCAAATTCGTATATTTGAGAATGCAATTAAAAAGATAGAGGTGCAATTTGCAAAACGAAGATCCGCGATCTAGAGATTAGTAATCAAGTTCAGTCAATTCATAAATATACCGAGACTGAGTTAATTGCGTTTTAGACGGTGCGAACATGTGCACGTCGCAGAATTGAAAACGTCGCGATGCGAGTAAAGTGAGCTTTTAATTCCAAAGATTTCTAATATGCTGGAAACCTGAGAGTGGACAGTTTTGTACGGTTGGCATTGTCGATGTGAAAGCGCGTAATGCGATATGCGCGAATTATGTACGGGCAATAAGAGAGCGCAATATACCTAATGAGAAACAGAGCGGTAAAACCGTCCGAAGCGAGCGAACGAATCGATGCGACGGCGCGAAATTGTACGAGAGTTCCATCGACGACCGAGCAACGCGCCTGTTATTCTCCGAATGAATCTCGGCGAGTAATAAAATGACCAGGGGAGGGCCAGGCGGCGATCAAGCGACCGCGCTGATTACTTGGCGTGGCTCGTTGTTCACGTTGACATCCGTAATCGGTGGTGGGCTCTCGCGCGGTGGTCGAACGCGAAATAACAAACGGAAAAGCGCGCACCAGCGATCCATTAGTCCACGATACTATTATCGGTTCGGTTCGATTTCTCGCGAGAAGCGAGCACGCTGGAAATTTCGCGGCCACGATGCAACCCTTCCCTCTAGGGTGGGGGGGGGGGAGGGGAAGGAATACAACCACGCCGATTTAGGCAATTATAGATCTCGTTGCGCAAGTTTTTCAATTGACCGACGATGAAACGAGAAACGATCGGTCGAGAATAACTCGGCATCGGAGAATTTAATTCCATTTAGGCGTATCGTTCCGGTGGATCGTCGAGAAATAGAACTGGGCTGTAACCAATTTCTCTCAAGGTTTAGAACGTTCGAACAGCCGGGGCAGATCGCGAAACAACCATGTCGCATAAATTAATTAGTCGCGTTTTATTACGGTCGCGAGGTGACGCGCTCGTTAGGAACGAACGAACGAGTAAAAGTGCACCAAGTTGGACTTTCAAGCTCTTCACTAAGAAATTCAGAAATTCGGACGAGACTTGTTACCGGAGGTTCTTATTTCACGCGTATGTGAATGTACGTATGTAGGTGTGTAATAAATGAATCCAGATTTCAATCTTAAGTGTAGGAACTCGTCTATGTATTTTTACTTACACGTATTCAAACGTGAAGTTCTGTGTCTCGTTCCGACAATTGTCAAATATAAAAAAAAAAAAAAATCGCGATCTCTATTAGAAATGGGATATAAATTAGTCGCGGATCCGTGAATATGAATTTTTAATTCCTTAATATATGGTGTCACGTGTCACATGTTTCAAGAACATAATCCTTGATCCTTAATTCCCTAATATACGTTTCATATGCATCACGTCACGTATTTTAGCACGCGAAACGCATGCATTCCCAAATAACAACGCTCGTCATTGTATGATTCATGCAGCGACGGATGCGTATCAAACACCACGTCGACGATCTTCATTTTCATAATTGGCTCCATTCTCTCTAGTTTTCATCGAGTCTCTAGAGACGATCGCGCTCCCCCTCATCCTCGAGTTTGGCTTAAAACTGCAATTATATCGATGCATTTCGGCCAGACGCGGCATATTAAACGGGCAACCGATGGAAAAATAAATAACCGTGGCGAGTGCGTTCCTTGAATCGTCATTGAGAGAGTATTTACTTTGAAACGTCGGGTCCGAAGGCAGGCTACCATCGAGCCCTCGCGTCCCTGTCGTGTTGGAAATGTTTAAAGCCTGCTTTCTGCCGGCGAATACCGGCCGGTGCAGTTTGTCGAAATTAATGAATTATACGCGGTAGAAGTATATTTTAATAAATACATATTTAGCGCGGGCAAACAGCGAGCAGGATGATTGTTGACCGAGCGTGTTTGGATCTGAATCGGACACGGTCGATCGGAACTTAATTGACTATCTGTCCGATTTACGCGTTTGCAACACCGCGCAGCGCAGATTCCTCGACACGGATGTAACAACGTAGGAAAACACACTTTTCTTGATGCATCAGCGCATCGCCATCGCTGATGATTCCGCTGGCGCCAAACTAATGTCCCGTGCGCACTGCGAGGAAGCGAGTTTGCCTTCGGTGGTGAACGTACACGTCGAGAGTAGAGATGGGATCGAGCATCTCGCGAGTAGATTCGAACCTTTCAATCCTTTGACTTTCGTTTTTCTCAGACAAGCATTAATCATTACAATGATATAGGATCGTACCGAAATTTTATAGATATAATTTGTTTCTACTAATCTGCTTTAGATCCTCCTTTTAGAAAGAGAGGGAAATCATTCTGTAGAACTTTAATTTTCAAGAAATCTTTATCGAATATTATGCAAATATTGGACTAGTTACATTTTCAAAACTGTAGATAGATACTCATTCTATAGATAGGACTCGAAACCAGCTTGTATAAGTTGTGTATGTAGTACACAAATATTCATTTATGTGATACACTTTTTTAGTATATAGCAATGATAATTAATGTTCAACGTATATATATGGTTTATAGGACCCGATTTATGACTGTATCGTTGAACGAATGGCGTAGATAGGATTGAACGTCTATTCATTTCTATGAAAATTCTTTTTTTTGTATTCGAAAGCCATGAAACGAAACTTATATATCCAACTCGACTTGAATTTATAAGTAAGTGCATGCGGAACTCGATCCCATTCGTAGTCGGAAGTGCTCGAACAGAACGTTTACGCATATCTTAACGCGACGATCCGCGGATGTGCAGGTTGACAAAAAAAAAAAAAAAAATGCACGGGAGACGTTCTACAACTTCATCTCTATCGGTTATGCGAGTTTCTTCGCGAGCTTTTATCATGTGTCATAGCTACGCGTATGGAACTTGGACCTTGAAAGGACGAACTCGCGAATAGAGACCGAGCAGTAAACGGAATTTTTCTTGTATCGTTCTTTTTCTGTACGATATGGCAGTTTCTCAAACAGTCGACGACGTAATATCTCGGTCACTTAGCGCGATACCTGGTTTTATTCATCAGTTGCGTCACTTTCTTCTTGCATTTCCACATCGCGAGTTTCTTTGATCGCGGTCGAAAAGAGAAGTAAGAGAAGAGAGAATTCCTTTGATCGCGCTCGAGAAAAAGAAAGAGAGAGAGAGAGAGAGAGAGAGAGAGAGAGAGAGAGAGAGAGAGAGAGAGAGAGTTGCGTAAATCGAGAGGAAAATGAAAAGCATAGAAAAGCGTAGAAGTCCACGAACCTTGATCGCTTGACACGAAGAGATCAAGAAGTATTCCCAAAAGTAGATACTCGCAACTCGTTGCTTGTTCGATGGAGTCATTGACAGACATGGCTTTTCTTTTCAGTCGTGAACGTCTTCCGTGGCATTTAGTCATGCGATCCGCCTGGCCAATCGGCGAAAATGTCGCGATCGATTCGCGACGCGCGGCCGATACGGGATTCGCGACGCGTAAAAAACATAAAGCGGAAACGGGAGAAGGCTGAGCGAGTCGTGCGTGGCTGCGGGGCGTCACGCTGTCGACGGTGCAATATCCACGGCAGCACGCCCGTAACACCGTTACACTATCTATCGATAACCGAAGAAACACCGCTAACGTAATCTCGCCGACTAGATTTTACGAGTGCGCGCACCGCGTTCGCTGTTCGTTGAACCGAACTACGCCCATAGATACTGTCAGAATCGTGTCAGTTACTTCGAAACGTTTTTATCGTTGCTTCTCGTCGAAGGGAGGAATCCTTGTGTCCTTGCTAAATCACGATTCTCGAAAGAAAATTTCCTACCTTTTTCCTTGGCGCGCGCTTGGTCGCGTCGTTTGTAAAGGGTGGTTTTACACCTACATGCGAACAAAACGGACACGCGATTATTAAATAAAAAAATGCAAGAATCGAGTGCTAAGAGCCACTTTCACTAATCTTCAATACCGTTTATACCCCGTAGGGTTTAAACATCGCACATACGCGTAAATGACACGACAAATATGCTGTAATCCTAGATCAAGCTAGCGCTACAGGATCGATCAAAACGGGTAATGCATGATACCTATCATCGTGGTATCACCGACGATCAAAAAAATTAGGCATGAAACTTGTATCGGAAAAAAGCAAAGTGCAAGTAACGCACTAGTTCTCACTTTCGTACTTTGTGAGAAAATCTAAAAATATATCCTCCAAAATTTCCATTATCAGAAGTACCACTTTGGTAGTTCTAGCTGAAGAAAAAAGGAAAAGAGCGACAGAAAAAAAAAAATATCGTGCGTGCGAGGTGTCCCGAAAAAAGAAGGGATACTCGTGACCGTAGTTGCAGCGAGCTCTTTCTTCTTTCTTCCTTTCGTTTTTTTTTTTTTTTTTTCGATCAGTTTCTCGGGGATGCGTCCTCCGTGCACCGGCTGGTGCATGTGCATCGTGACGGGGCATCGTGCATCGTGCGTGAACACGTGCGTGATGGCGCGTGTGCGTGCACACAGGCGCCGAGGGATGCGTCGACGGATCTCTGCCTCCTTCCTCCTCGGATCCACCACCACCCTGCGGACCTATATATTTCCCGGAGGGTCTCCCACTTTCGCCACTATCATTCCTGTCGCGGCTGCGCCAGCTCGTGAGCGCGCAAACGTGAGTCTGCTCTCGGCTTTCCTCTTTGGAGTTCCCTTGCCGGATGATTGCGCGCCAACACCTGACTTCTTTCGCGTTTCATTCGCATCGATTTTTCACCGTTTGAAAATCGTCGTCGTGTCGGCGAAATCGTGTACTGGCGCCATCAGTGCGGTTTCCAAAGAATTCGTACTCGTACATGCAACACGGCTCGTCGATCACGTCGACTAGTGGTCGATGGTGAACGCGGGAAACGCGGGAGTTAGTTCTCGATAACGTTCGATCTTGTTTTCTTGTACTTGTTTTCTTTTTCTTTTTTTTTTTCTAACGGAGATAGAGAAAGTATTGATCGCGATCGGGCGAGTTCTTTCTTCCCGCGGGCGACTCGTGTTTCTTGGGAAATGTGTGCCACGTGTAGTGAGCCCGCGAATCCACCTGCTGTACCTACCTATCGAATGGGATTGGATGAAGTCCATGCACGACGGTACGTCAAAGTGTTTGGCTAAACGTACATTGATCCTTGTTACCGTGTATCAATTCCAAGGTACAACATATTTTCATCGAGAAACGACGTCGCACGAAACTTCTCTCGGTTCACATCGACCGAGATGTTTGTCTTTGCACTTCGAAGCGGTATTTGCAACGAAGTTCCACGGTGGAAAAATATTTTCCTTTCTTGTGCAACCTGCGAGAATAAGCCGCGAGAAGTTTCGGTCGTTGTTGTGGCTGTCGACAAGGTGAGAATTAATTCATCGACCGAGCCGTGACAAATTCACAGCTGAGCGGCTGATCGTAGGATCGCGCGTTTCAATGCCGCGCAAGAATTCGAGATGAGACGCATTCTTCACAGCTGTTCATACAACGAAACGCTGACAAAGCGCAAAAAAAAAAAAACCGTGAATATAGATGCCTCTTTGTACTATCGTTCCCTAAGTTGAGACTTAATATATCGTCCTATAAATTATTTTCGCACCATTTTGATGTTTGTGTTCTCGTAACGTCTGAATTATTTTCTGGATCTTCCAATGACATAGCGCGAATCATTTGACTGGACGGTCCTTGAAAGTAAAGCAACTTTGTTTCTTTCGAACTTTTGTTTCTGCAGAGTTTTTTAATCAAATTTATTAAATTCGGAACGATTTTGTCTTTCTCTTTTAAATAAGAAAGTCACCGACCACCCCGGATAAGGTAATTCTTCGTCCTTGAGACGTGAAATTACTCGGTATTTCTTGATCGTTTTCAACGGCGGAGAGTAGACATTCCGAGAAGCAAAGTAGCAAAGTAAGAGCAAAGAGAGCTAGGAAAGACAGAATTATCGTACACCTTCTCAATGAGCGGATCGCACGGCAAAGGTTTATTACACGCAGTGAGACAAGGTAAAACTTAGACCGTAGAGAGTTAAGGCGACTTAAGGCGATCAACCTTAACCGGTCTAAAGGCGTCTCTCGCCGTTTCCGTGTCCCGGTATATAGCGATTTGTTGCGTCGCATCTTTCTTACGCTCTATATCATTCAGCTGGTAATGAGCTTCGCCTTTAACGTATCGCGACGTTCCTCATGCGCAGGATGGCCTGAGCCTCGGAGCAAATCTTCATGGATCGTTCACGAAAATCGAGAAATGACCGGTCGCCGTGGTGTCCCGCGGAAGTGCCGCGGCGCCGACGATGCGCGCCGCGACCCGCCAACATCGCCAACATCAGGAGTTTCGGGTAAGAAGAAATCTATTTTTCTAAAAAAATACTCTAGTCTAGGGAATTTCAAACGTTCTGTGCGACGTGACACGTCAACGGATCTATAAAACTTTGAAACGCTTTGAATTGTATATATAATATACATTTCGTATTTTATGACGTAACAGTCAAAGCAACTCGATAGTTTTTATGTGATAATAATTATTATTATTATTAAATGGTCAAGCTTAATAAAATAGAATGCAATAATAGATACAAAAAATTAATAAAATAAAATACGAAATAGTATATAGAAAAATTACGCTGTCGAAAAACATTTCCAACGTAGCTATTTGTCCAGTGAGTATATTGGTATATTAATTAGCTAGAGTAGTAATTTTGTAAGTAATTACTACGGTACTTAAGATGGGGAATTAATATTTTAATAATATTTAACGGACAATTAATAATGTTGATTTTCTATGATTCTACGGTTTCCAAGATATGCAACTGTCGATACTTTCCCACAGTTACATCATAGTGCGATCGTTCACTACTGACCACTATAGTGATCAAATCTATAGGTTAGCGATCGTTCGAGCAGATCAAAGTTCACAGTATTAGATTTCCGAACACATTAACTTGGATTTTCTCACTGGATTAACGGTTGTCAATCGACACGTCCATGCAGTCTGAAAAATATCTCTATTTAAAGAACGAACTTCTAGTATTCACGGCAATGTTATTTAACGGGCAGCTGCAAATGACGTTCGCCGAACGTGTAAATGGCCCGGGGCTTAATCGTGACCTCCCCTCTCTGGTTTTGTTTAAAAATTCCACGCAATATCGCCTTGGAAACGTGAAACCGTAAAAACTGTCGATCGAACGCCGAGCCCCACTGCGAACGAAGCACACCTACCAAGCGTTATTGCGCTGCTTACGGAGCCGATGAAATACACAATGCGATATGGCAATTAGAAGCGGAGTCCTTGCGACTTAGCTTAAATGATTCTGGTTATTAGTATATATATATATTTAAAAATTATCGTCTCGCTGCGACTGTCTGTCCTATATTCAAGCTCAGCGCTTCTGTTTCGGAGTCGATCTTAACATTTACTTCTGAAGTTGATGGTGTCTCGATTACTCGGAGAGAACGAAATTCGAATGGTCTACGGTATTAAAAAGCAGCGGAGGTGGTGGATAGAAATGCAAAAGCGATAACGCTGGCTCTCGAGGACCCAGAGAGATCGGTTAAAGCGTTTAGCCCAGGAACACGATACTCGAACGAGAGGCGCGCGAGCAAACAGCATGACCGAGCGCCACGCGAAATTTGTACACGATTTGTATCGTTGATCCCCTCCTCCCCTCCCCCCGTAACCGCGAGCGTGCGGTTCGCTGGAGGAAAATGGAAAAAAAATAAGAGAGAGAGAGAGGGAGAAAGAGAAAGGAGAAAAGAGAAACGAAGCAGAGAACAGCCGAAACACGATCGCCTCTCGATAACTCGTCATTTTAACGAGGGTATATCTATCTCTCTCTCGCGCGCCCGTGCCGTACCGTAGCTATACCATAGCAGTTTATTTTAATACAGACACCTCGTAATAATTCTCAATGCACATCGTACCGAATGAACGGACATCAATCCTTGCCCTCGTTACTTTCGGTGCTCCAGGCAGAGGGTCCCTTGTTATCCGTGCAGTCTCTTTTGTACGGCATGCATGCCAATGTCCGCGCATAATTACCGGTTTCGATTACAGATCGGCCACGGTCGCCAAGTGCGCGCCAGATTTTCCGCCCGTGCTGGGAAACGTCGTTCACACTAACCGTCGTATCCTCTCGCTGTTTTATCCGTTCGTCGATCTCTCGCGTGAGCTCCGCGAGCCACGGGTCTCTCGTGGAGACCCTCGTTTTCTGCTTCCTCTCATAATTGTCAATCGTGTTTCTCCTCGGTTTTTCTCTTTAATTATACCTTACATACATACGTCCATCCTGCACACACGATCCATACGAAAACATTGACAATTCATTCGAGAACACCGAAATGAGAAACATTTCGGATTTCAAGTTTCGGCGAGCGTGTACACTTTGGAGTAGCGCGATTTTTCAGCGGATCGTAATACCAGGAATTCCCAGGCGTAGATTCAAGGCACCGACGTGACGTACATACGCACGTCTGGCAGCGCGCAATCGTCACGCTGATAACCGTGAAAGTAACTCGTGTGTCATACTCTGTGACACTAATCCCTCGGGCGAAGGGATGGATAGGACCACGAAAGGTTTTACATCGAGGAACGAAAGGAAAAAGAAAAAAAAAAAGAAATAAAAGAAAAGGAAGAAGAAAAAAGAAGCCACGCGAACAATAAGCAATCTATAGCGAGTATGTACGGGTAATTATATCGAATCTAGATGCACGCGTGCGATTGTATGCACGTATGTATGTCCCTTCCGTGGAGATCACATGAGGTATATATTACGTATGGTATGTGGTCGAGTTTGCCGTGGCTCGCGTGTGTACGCGAGTCCTTCGTTCCCCTCCGTGATAATACGCGATGACGGAAAAATATGACCCGTCCGACTCGTCCGGTCGAGAAAGTTTTTGCTCGCCTTGAAAACTTTTCGTCGCGACGTCCGGAGCTCGTCGATAATTATGCTCGTCCTTTTTCTCCCCCTCCTGTCCGAGGCTCCTCCGACTAGCTGTCCATTTCGACCATGACGGATTTTCACAGACGTCGAAACGTCAGTGACTCGCTTTTTGTACCCGAACGAGTCGGAAAAGAGCTACGCGAACGAGGTTTTCCCTCGGTCGGACTACCGTTTCGCGAGTCGCGAAAGATAAATTACCCGCGGTCGAACGTTTCGGAACGACAATTCACGATGAAACGATAGGGAACGTTGCACAGTGTACACCGTCGATTTTCTCCTCCGGCTACGCGTGAATATTGTCCGCCTCGGATCGGAGCACCTAACTTAACGATCACCCTTTGCGTCCACGTGTTGCATAATGCTCGCGTGTGCCCGCGCAAATGCGTGCCATTACGGTCGGTATACAGCCGCGTAAAACTTACACCGTCCAAGCTTTTTATATCTGATGCATCGGGGCGGAGAGCGGAGCGATAAGCCGAAGCGTACAGGAAACAGCTGCCGGCGGCTCTCGGATCTCCGAGGTGCGAACCGCGAAGTCGACTCGAATATCGATTATTTACGTGAGACGTGTGCGGGAGGTGCATCGTAGCCTGTACAGGAAAAAACACGCGCGCGCGGAAAAGCCGGAGGGTGGAAGGACAAACAAATAGAGGTGCATTAGCCGGCGACCGTGTCAGGAATATGAAGAGCAGTTGGCTCACGGCCTACCTCGCACCTCCCACTTTGATGTTCACCGCTGCCATCGCGAACGCGGCACGACGCGACAAGGCTGTCCAGAGAAAAATGCATTTCTCTGCGCGTGTTGGCGCCTTGCCCTCTTCCTTCCTGTTTCTTTCTCGCTGTCCCTTGTCCGCGGAGCCACGTGTGTCCTCCTCATACCTCTCTCCAGGCGCTGTTTGAGTGCCGAGTACAGTTAATCGGTAGGGATGGGATCAAGTGTACTCTCAATGTGTACTCGTGAATCACGCCCAAGTTTTGTCTCCTCGGTCGCGTTTATACAATAGAAAAGCATGTTCCCGTTCTTTTCTGTACGCGAATTTTCAAATGTTACATCAGGCTCTTCGTAGTATTCGTTGTAATCCACTTTGGAATTTTAATATTTAGATTCTTGTCTCTTTGTAATATTTTCGAAGATAACGAATATAAAAGTGTTCAAACTCGAGCATTCGAAGTACCATCCGAAATAATATAAAAGTGTTTGAATCCAATGATAGAAACAAAGGGGGAAAGTAAATACTTGCGAGGTACTCGATCCCATCTCTGTTAATTGACCACCTCGTCCTCGATGACGTACGAACGAACGATTGATCACGCGTCAGTCGATGTGTTTCCGTTCGAAATTCGTGGCGACGATACGCGCTACTGCCTGGCCGACCGTTTGTACCTACCTACGTTTCAAGAGTTCGTTATCGAATATGTTCGCTCGGAAGAGAGAGAGAGAGAGAGAGAGAGATCTAAGGACTTGGGTGTCTGGGACGTGTGCGTCTGAATAGGGTTAACGATCGCGCCGGTGGTCGTTGCGCGTTAATTAACGTCGGCCGCACGTTCGTGATTCCGACTTTCGGTCGGATTCTAGGAGATTGTCGAACACGGTGTTGAAAAGCGAGAGAAAAAGGGAAAAGGAGAAGTAGGTGGCTCGAATCGAAGGCGAAATAGGAACGCGTCGATCGGAATTTCATTCGGTCATTCACGGCCAATGAAACGCACCTTTTGAGCGCGAGGAGAATATATCGTTTAATTACGGATCAGCTGTTCCAATCGGGGCGTGACGAAGCTCGCGCGTGTGTGCACGCGTGTCCCGATCGATTTATTTCGAGTACGTATCGAGAGGCTCTCGCGGCCAACCGAGAGAGATCCCATCTCGGCACCGAAGATAGAATTGCCACGGAAGGCAGCAATAAACGCGATCCACTCGCGTACAACGAGTACTATTCATAAGTCGGACGGAGCTAAGGGCCGTAAGTCCGTTTACGAGAGAGTGGCGCCTTCGACCACCTCGTAATTCTCATCCGCTTTTCTTTTTCACAGAGGCACTACAACTAACCTCATTATACACGCACATGTTCGTCACGTTCGTCCATTCTGCCATTCGCGCGTTCGATGTATCTTCGATTATTCTGTTCGTTTGTTTTTTTTTCTCATCGTCGATTATCCTCGGTCGTGGTTTCTCACAGACCGCAGAGCACGGAAATCGAGCGCTCGAGCGCGTAAGTTTCGTTCCTTTTGTCAAATTTCGTTTCATTCGTTAACGCGGTAGCAGGGAACTACGGCTGGCTGCGCGGCAATTTCGACGAACAACAGGACCACGAAGACTAATTGTCGCCGTGATATCTCTTACCAATTGGTTATCGAGTTTTCGTTAAGTCAATTTCCATGTCGTTATCCGGTCCTATTTACTC